TGCCTCCTGCACACCCCACATGGGGGATTAAGCAAACAACCTGGGCATGTGCCCTGACCAGGAATCAAACCAATGACCTGGTTCACAGGTCAATGTGCAACCACTGAGCCATGTCGGCCGGGCCTATCCCCTTTCCTTGTACCTCAAATGATTAATCTTTGTATAATTGTGAAGATTAAATCAGATTCTATAATTTTTCCTTTCACATCTTAACTTTATTCCCTTTCAATGTTCTGATTTACAATTTTGACACACAGGGAGGGCCAGATACATTGCCCACTTGCTTTCCAAATTAACACTCAATGGATAGACTTTTGATGGTGTTGAGATAAGGGGAAGCATTCTAGACACACGTGTGCCAGGAGAAAGACATATGAGATGAGCATGTGGAATTGAGGTCCTGGGGGCAAGGCTTGGAAGAGACCTGTCTCCCACAGAAAGCCTCGTAACATGTTTTCCTTGGGCAGCATGGAGGCAGGAGGTCCTGGACTCTACTGAATGTACAGCAGGGCCTGGCTTATGGAATTAGTGACAGGGAAGAACCTGAGATCAGAAAGCAGCTCGGTGGCCTGAGTATACGGAGTCAGTCACAGCAATCTCCAAGAGCAAATGGAGGAGGCAGGTGAGAGGAGGAGGCTGCTGCGATTGGAGGATGGATCTGTAGGAACTCAGTAGGAGAATAATAGGTCATCAGCCTATTAGAAGTTAAGCAGTTGACAAATAGGTTTAGAGAAAGATGAGCAAGAACACTTGTGAATGACTACGATTATTAGTGGAGAGATCTGGAGAAAATGCTAATAACAGTGAAGGAGAACAAAGTTTCTGGTGTGCAATAAAGTTGTGGGGTCTTTGTGGAAAGGGTATCCCTGGGCAGAGGGACAGAGTGCTGGGGAAATATGGTTAAACATCATTATCCATCAGTAGCTGTCCGAATATGATGGAATGTAGGGATTTTTGTACCAAAGATTTTTAAAAAATATATTTTTATTGATTTCATTGATATTGAAGGGAGAGAGAAATATCGATGAGAAAATCATTGATCAGCTGCCTCCTACACGCCCCCTACTGGGGATTGAGTCCACAACCCGGGCATGTGCCCTTGACTGTAATGGAACCTGGGACCATTCAGTCTGCAGGCCGACACTCTATCCATTGAGCCAAAACAGCTAGGGCTGCACCAAAGATTTTTTAAGCCTCTCCCAAAGGGCTTCCTGGAGCAAATTCATCACGTTTCAACCAACTTATAGAAACTCAGCAAGGTCAGGATAAGCAACAAGGCCATGCAGGAATAAGGAATTCCAGTCAGGCCTAGATTTTCAGGAGGTTTTCACCTGTCATAGGAAAGATGACTAACCCCACAGAGAAGTCCACCCAGTAAACCTGTCCCAAGCCAATAGCACCATGATTTTCACAAGAGTCAACTAGATACTAGGAGTCTTCTGAAGTACTGTTGAGAGTGTATTAATGTATCTAAGTTTAATTCAAGAGGCAGAAGGTGATATTCTATCTGTTTGGCTAATGTTCCTCTCATGTCCATTTTATGGAAAAACTATCTAGTAATCAAAACCCTTTGGTTAGCTGCTGATATATCTGTAGAGAGAATACATGGAAGTAAGGCCCTTCCTGGGAGAAATTTCTTACTTCTTAATACAGAACCCTGAAGCTGGAAAGTTCCAAAGTTTATCCTGTTCAGCCCATCATTTTATAAATGATTTGGGGAAAAAGTAGGGCTTCGCAGCATCTGTGACCTCTGTCTATTGAAGGACGCCTCCCTTAGACCTGTGTGTGCTTCACTAAGCCAGTGTTGGGTAAGAGTAGGTGCTGGGACCCAGTTAAGCTCGTCCTATGTTTAAGCATAAAGCCAATAATCTCCCTTTATTAGATGAACACAAATTGACTCCTAACATGAAAGGCATTTAAAGACCTTCCAATTTTGGACGTCGCTGTTTCCAAACTGTGTGTATAGTTACAGAGATGACATGAATAAGGCTGTTACTAGTACAGATAAAGCTGCCATGAAAATATTTCATAATAAACAGTAGTTGGGAAGAGCCAGAAGTATAGGGGTAAACAGTCACTGAATCCTGATCAACATAACAGGTGTATGACTTGCTGTGCTCCTTCTATTTGAAAAGAAGTGACAGTATCTCCCACCAATGTTAAACAAAGTGAGGTTAATGCAATAAATATATTTTATTAAAGAAAAAATGGAATATTGTTAAGCACCAAAAATGTATGTTGTTACATTACATGTACAAGAAGAGAAAGGTGATTGCAATACTTGGTGTACAAGTACTTAACTCTTAAGTCATGAGTGTAAAAAACATGAAATACAAAGCAATACAATAATTACAATGCAGAAAAGTTGCACTAAAGAGCCAAAGGCAACAGTCAAAACAATTATTGGAGATTTCAGAATATTGCTATAAATGCTTGCTTAGTTTTTTCTTTGTACTTTTAATACTTTAGGATGTTAATTTAGCATACTTAAGTACTGTAAATTTGCAAGAGTTGGCATTTACAATACACTGTGCACAATGCCCATGTGATGTGATGGTGTTAAAGCCATCCTTAAAAGCCAAGCACAATGTGCTAGTGTTTTGCTTCTACCATTATAATATTGCACAAAGTTAGTAAATGGTGAATCAGTTTGCTATTAAAATTTTCATTTGACTGGAAAGGCTAAAAAACATGTCAGTTTCATTAGCCCTAATGGGCTTTACTCATGCAAAATGACCTGTGGCCTTCAATTTTTCATAAACTACATATTATGGTTTCAACCTTGGCAATACATACAGTACAATGAGAAATTCAGTGACACAGTGGGGATTCTGTCCACGTTGAAGAAGTCAGAAGTCACTACATGGGTTATATTGGCTATTCCTTTTGGTTAACAGTTGAAGGGAAAATGCCATCTTGTGATTATGGAGACTTCTTAAAACCAATTTAATTAGTATTGGGAAAAGCTAGAATAACTTGTTATATACTCTTTGATAGTTAACCATAGAACATGCAAGTTTAAAAAAAACACCAAAACACCAAAACTTCGCTTGTTAAAACTGAACTCTATAACCAATACCTATACCTTTTGTACATGTCTAAATATCATTTTCCATGGTCCTTCCTTAACTCCCCAAAATGAACCAATCTTAATTATAACCTGACTTTAAAACACACACACAAACTTTCCCCTAACCCTCAAAACAAATGTTTGAGATTCAGTGTGAAATAACATTGATAAAATATTTAATATGTCAATCTCAGAGGTATTTTCTGTACATGCACCTTACAGTGTGATAATAAATGCATGGAGAAGGGGAGAAACGTTTATAAATTTGGAATTCAATTAAATTCCTCAAATGCCAAGCTATACATTTACTAAGGGCAAAAGAGAACATTTCCAAATGAATATGTCTTCGAAATAATTCAGTGGACAAACTTAACACACACAATCCAGACTCCCTCTTACCTTTAAAAAGCCTCTGTTTACATACATGATAGTTTAGGCAGCAATATAAACTCACTTCTTGTAGGAAAACTTTTAAATTAGCCTATATTTATAGGATAAAAATACCATTGCTTCATTTTACAAAGCAACTGAGCAGAGATTTTTTAAATGTGCTTTAACTACAGAGCACTCTGCAGTGAAGATCAGACACACCACTGAACTGTCAGTAGCTTAATAAAAGCAGCGCGCTCCCACAGTAAGGTGCTCTACTTCCTGCCCTCTCTGCCATTGGAAGTAAGTCCTGCTGGTCAATCCTCTACCTGAAGCATCGTTCTTCTATGCTAAGCAGTAAACGGGGAATAAAATCTGTTTAAAAATGCACATTTAACTTTATATTATTTAAATTCAGTGCAAGAATTAGGCAAAACTTAAGGTTTCTGCTTTCACTATATAATGGTTGCACATTAACAATGAGTCTGCCACAGTTTTTAAATGTTTTATATCTGTTCAATTTTTTTTTTTTTACAAATAACCTGGTAAAGTATATGAAATTTCAACTCCCTGATAAGGCCTTTAAGGACCCATTAGTACTTTACAGGTTGGCATTTGATGTTAAGTGCATAATAAATTATAAAGATTAAAAAAACCCTTGTATTTAGTGAAAGAAAAAACTTCTCTTAGGCTAAAAGTATTACATTCTCAGTGAATGTAATTAAAAATGGAGTCTCAGGGAATGTATAAAGTTAAATTGTGTTAATTGTACACTGGTCCCATCCCAAACAGAGAGAATGCTCCCCCCATTTATTTTTGTTCCACTAATAAAAGAATTTCCATTCTTAGTGTCTGCTATGGCCCAAGTGTGCTTTACAAAAGTGGTCACGCCATGTTACCAAATATTGCTACATAGGTCAGCTTTGTAGAAACCAAGGCCCCCACCCCTCCTGTATAATAAAAGGGTTATATGCAAATTGACTGAATGGCAGAACGTCCGGTCGCTATGACGCACACTGACCACCAGGGGGCAGACGCTCAATGCAGGAGCTGCTCCCTGGTGGTGAGTGCACTCCCACAGGGGAAGCGCCACTCAGCCAGAAACCCAGAAGCTGGGCTCACGGTTGGCGAGCACAGTGGCAATGGTGGGAGCCTCTCCTGCCTCCGCGGCAGCACTAAGGATGTCCGACTGCCTGCTTAGGCCCGCTCTGCACGAAGTGGACCTAAGCTGTCAGTTGGTCATCCCCTGAGGGCTCCTGGACTGTGAGAGGGCGCAGGCCAGGCTGAAGGACACCCCCGAGTGCATGAATCTCATGCATTGGGCCTCTAGTTACATAAAAGTGCTGAAATTTTTCTACGGTTTCATAGAATAGCCCCACAGTCCCACTATGGAAATACTACACCTGATCAAGTGTCATAGTCATGTCTAAAAGTCTATTTGAAAATGCATTTTATAGAAATGTTTAAGTTTCACAATGAAGAATTAAGGAATGATTGCTTTTATGCTGCTCACAAACTCAGTAAGCCTATAAAATATACATCAAGTAAATAAGACAGTTGCTCATCTTTTAAAAATCTTTTTTAGCCAGGCATTTCTTCATATTGCTATAATATAGTACCATTGGGATTTTAAATCATTAGGAATACCTTTTCTATACATTCCACATTGGTTATATACACATAATTTTAGTTGCATTAGAATATATAGTTAACATTGACATTTAAGTGAGCAGTAAGTAATACTGTCCTCAAAACATCCCCCAGATCACCACCTACTTGTTTCCCTATTTTAAATATATAGTAGTTGAGGCCAGATTAGTAAATTAACTTCTAAACTGATTCAGCGTAAGCAAGCAGTTGTTTGCAGATTCTTATATATGGCAATGATACATTAACAGAAATACAGCTGTCAAATATTTAAAACCATATAAACAGTATAGGCAAGTTTGGAAGTGGAAACGTGATCTATAAGTACCACCATAACTAAAATATATACAAATGAAATACTAAGGCCGAAGGTGCTCATCTTACTGGCGCAAGAAAAAAAAGAATTTAACCATGTCAACATAATTCCTGTTGGGGTCTAAAACTGCTTTAAAATTAAAATGAGGATTCAACTGGTCAACTCATCTTAATAGACAAGTCGATGGTAGTTATTTTAAATTTTAATATTATTTGTGAGAACTCTTAAAGGTTGATGACCTACAGTAACATGCAATTCCGTGGAAGTAGGAATCTGAATCTCTAAGGGAAGCGAGTGTGTTAAAGAAGTTATTTACCAGAGAATGAGCATAGCTGGCGGCTCTAACCTACTCATCTTCAAGTGTGAGATAACCTTCATGGAGATCACAGGACCCTTGGAATTGCAGCTGTAACACCAAATGGGTAGCAATTCCCTCTAGACATATGAGAGTTCTAGTGCTTTTGCTGTTAATTTAACATTGCCTTCTCCTGTATTTTTCTAAATGTCAATGAATGAAAAACAAAACAAGCATCCAAAGGCATAACATTGAAATGTGATTTTTTTTATGACTTGTAAATTTACTAAAACTTCTTAAAAAATACATTATCAAACCAATCATTCTTTGGGTTAGGAAGCATGCTTCAATGCCTTACGGATGTAGATAGGAAAAAATCTCCCCCACTCACCATCATGGGATGAAGATTAGTTTCTATATTAGATCTATATTTCCAATCTTCCCAGACAAGATGTGAAAATAGTGCTAGAATAAACCAATGTATTGTGAAACATATTACCAACATTTAAGCAGAAAGATTTTGTTTTACATGACCGGTGTCAGAATATTTTCTCCATAATTGCTCTCAAGAAATACCACTTTAATGTGACAAAGGTGCGAGCATTTCGTTTTCCTCTGGAATATCGATTCATTGGAGGGCTTTTACACTGGGACTGCTTTCTGAGTCTAGGTCAGATAATTGCCTCATAAGAAATAAAAGTCTTTTTTGGTATTTCGGTCCTCCCTGCATATAAAGGCCAAGATCTGTCTTATGCAGAATACTCTACAGAGTACTGTATTGAGTCCAACATATCTACCTTCATTTAAGCCCACAGCAGTCCAGCTGAGAACACATAATGGCTCCATTCATATAAACGCATCCTTTAGGACTCCATTACAGCAAAACAGGCACCTAGAGCTACATACATTTTTAATTTAGTGACAATAACAAAGACTCTATCCAAAAACTCCACTCAAAGCATGTGAAATGCCAGCTAAAGAGGCTTTTCTGCTTGTCTAATTTTTTCTGCATATTTGTAGAGCACTTTTTTTTCACTGTGGAGCATAAAAATAAAAACTTAAATGGTACATGATAAAAAGACTTAAGATCTGCATTCCTATTATAGAATCCTGATTTTTGATTCTCAATAGGAAAGTCATGTTGAATTACAGTAATCAAGCAATAGTTCAAACAAAAGACCAAAAATAATTTGAAATATTATCAAATTACAAAGTATTGCTTCTCATAAACAAAGCTGCACATAATATTCAAACTATTATAAATTCACAATTATGAAGAGCTATTTAAAAGCATGGAAATTTTACTTCAAAAACTTACAAAGTGTAAGAGTGTGTGGTCTTCTAAAAATATGCCATGTTAAATGTATCATATTGTGGTAAACACATTAATAGATGCATCTCCATAGTTTTGTATCTTTCCAGATATTGTTCAACATCTTTATGAAAATTCCTTTGGAGATAATGTGGAAATTTTCAACATCTGATTTTCTTTCAATTCCTGTCCCAATGGCTATCATGATAAACTTCTTTTTCAGAGTGTCACACTATTTATATAAGCTGATATGGAAGAAGCTCTGTAATTTTCAAGCAGATGACTATTCAGTGCACTGAACAATAGATTTCAAAGGAGTCCCAATACAGCTCACAGGAGACCTCTGTCCACCCAGTGCTCTTCCAACTCATAGCAACCCCTAGCTTTACTGGCCACTATAAGTATGTAAGTGGGTGGACAGGAGGGGAAGATGGTAACAAAATGGGAGTCTCTCTGAAGGCCTCTTCTTCAGTGTAGTCAGGAACATTGCACATCTAAAACTCATGTTAACCACCATCTATTGGAATGACTGAAAAAGTAAAAACTTGCCAATTGTGCTTCCTTTTTTCACACCACTGAGCCAATACACTTTGGATCTAATGGAATCCAATTCTGGAACCAAGTGTTTAGAATTTGTTTTTCAAAAGAATATGAATCGGTCTTCAACTGCAGGTATTTTTTTCTTTTTCGTGAGTCACCTGTTTATAAATGAAATAACAATGTATTAAAAAAAGAATGACCTATTAAATGTAGAATGTACATATGTTCCCTCATAACTTCAGCAATATCCAGAATGAACACTGATGATTTTTCCTTATAAATGGCCATTTATACAGACCGTTTTAAAAAAAAGGATATGCTTGTATTCAAAAGAAAATAAAAATAAAAAATTTACATATGGGTTTTGATCACTGTTAAAAGGTTGTAAAGATTCTTTCACTTTTATTTTTACTTCTTTTAAAATAACATTTTACGTAAATACAAAAAGGAAAAATATAATCTCAAAATTTTTGCCTAATAAACTGTCAGTATAAGAACTATTACATGAGATTTTAAAAATTCACTAGGGAGCAATTTTTGTTAGATTGACATTTAGAGCACGGGATTAATACTGGTCTTTAAATGCGTGCTTTACCAAGACTTCTTAAAATTCAAAATAGTTGTGTTTGAGATCTATGAGCTTACCTATGGAACAGGAAAATTTATGTAAAAGTTCTGGTACTTATCAAATAAAAGCTGACATGAACAGAATACTAAGTTATTATAGTTCTGTGTTATCTAACACTGTAGCTACATGTGGCTATTGAGCACTTAAAATGAGGCGAGTGTGACTGAGAAAATGAATTTTTAGTTTGATTTAAATTAAAATATAAAGTGGTAGAAAATATTTTTTCTACTAAATACAATTTTATTGTTTTGATAGGACATTTCACTTTAACCATTGAATATTTAGCATCCAGACTGAGATGTACTATGCTGTAATTTATACTAGTAAGTATAAAATGTACAGTGGATTTTGAAAATTCAGTACAAAAAAATGTGAATTATGTTGTATATTTTTTTATATTGAAAACATGTTGAAAGATACTATTTTGGATATAGCATGTAAAATAAAGTATTAGTAAAATCAGTTTCACCCATTCTTTTCTAACTTCTTTAAGTATAACTAGAACTTTTAAAATCCTATGTGAGGCTCACATTGTATTTCTATTGGACAGAGTAATTATAGTTACTTCATAAGTTTAAGAAGGACCCCTCAGGGCCCTAGCTGGTTTGGCTCAGTTGGATAGAGGTGGGCCTGTGGACTGAAAGGTCCTGGGTTCTATTCCAGTCAAGGGCACATGCCTAGGTTGTGGGCTCGATCCCCAGTGGGGGGCATGCAGAAGGCAGCCAATCAGTGATTCTCTCTCAACACTGATGTTCCTATCTCTCTCTCCTACTCCCTTCCTCTCTGAAATCAATAAAAAAATATTTTTTTTTAAAAAGGACCCCACAGGGAACAAATCAGAAACTGAATAAAGTCTATATAACTACATGTACTTCCTTATGTTTAGAAATACCCTTCAAGGACACTGTTACCTATAATTTTCTCTGGGAAGAGTTTTTAGAGGAGAGCGAGGCAGAACAGGGACCTTCACTTTTTACTTCATGAAGTTTTGAGAAGTTAGCTCTTCCAAAGAAGTATGTAATCACATCAATGATTTAAAAGCTCTAAGAATGAAGCCAATTAATAACAGGGATACAAATTACAGCTTTTTTAGCTATCTGTGGAGAAGTATCTACAACATTTAAAAATGATTTCCCAAGCCCACACACAGTTGAAATGGAGCTTGTTCATCAATGCCAGCTCCATCGGTGGAGCATACAGCTAATCTATAGATTGCTTCTGGTGTAGGATATACTGTCTTTTAAAACTAGCTTTGCAGCTATCTGAGCTCATACATTTTGTGGAACTATTTCATTGTTTCTCTCAACATTATACTACATATACCAGTCATAAAAAAAAATCATTCTAAGAGAGAAAAGTTTTAGGCAATTTTCAAAGTGGTTATTTATCCTGGACATCAGAAATAAGGCCAAATTAGCAGCCCAAAGCTATAAATAACGGACACTTGAATGTAGGAAATACTATTGCAGTATCTGTGCTCGGCAGGATCTAGTAGGATGGAAGATGACAAACAGTGATGGGCTGGCGTGAGCAGCTGCTGGGAGGCCATGCACCCTGCCTGGGCCACTGCAGTCAACTAATAAAAGGACTAAACATACTCATTCTGTGAAGGCCCACCTGAGGGATTAACCAATCAGCACTAAGATGGTAGTTTCAGGCATAGGTTTAGCAGCTCACCGAGAAGCTGTAAGCAGGAGACAGGCAATAAAAATAGGTAGCAAGCACTGTAATGTGAAAGACAATAAGTATCCAGTCAAAAAGATTCCTTGTCAAGACAGATCTGAGTCTCTCAACACATTCATACACCAAGTAGACATACTGATATATTTATACCCCTCTGCAAAGCATAGTATACATATACGTACAAGCACAAATGGTTTGAAATTATTGTGGGATCCATAAACATGCCACATAGAGTGACTATTAATTAGGACCTCTATAAATAACTCTCTTGGAAGAAAGGATACCAAAAGCCCCCAAACCACAGCAGGACCATGGTATTCTGGAATGCTGGCTCAAGCACATTAAAGGTAACACACAACCACTTAAGAGAAATGTGATTTTCCCCCCACCCATTTTGTTAAGTTACTGATCTGTGCAGATGCTGCTGGAGAGATGTGGAACAGGTAAAATTGCTTTTAGTAATATTTGATATCCAAAATAGTATCTTTGAACATGTAATCAATCTAAAAATTAATGACAGTTTGTTTTGTATTAAATCTTCAAAATCCAGATGTATTCCTGCATATGCATCAGTCCTGGGGAGTGAAGGTCAGGAATCTGCACTTTTAATAAGCTTTCCAGGTAATTCTTATAATTAAGCATGTTTAAGAATAGTTGTGCTGATGTGCCCTAGCCAGTTTGGCTCAGTGGATAGAGCGTTGGCCTGCAGACTAAAGGGTCCCAGGTTTGATTCCAGTCAAGGGCATGTACCTTGGTTGCAGGCTCCTCCTGGAGGCAACCAATCAATGTGTTTCTCTCACACAGATATTTCTCTGTCTTTCCCTCTCTCTTCCACTCTCCCTAAAAATCAATGGAAAAATATCCCAAGGTGAGGAGTAACAACAACAAAAAGAATAACTGTGCTGATGAATATGTTTATTCTTTACTCCCTCCAGGACTATGAGTCCCCCCTTTTTGGTGAATGTTGTGAAGCTGTATACTATTTAACTTATAATATATGTTATCGTTACTGATTCTATATATTTAACATCATTTCTAATTACCACATTACTTTAAAATTACCTTATTAAAATATACATTAAATAACGTATTAAAATAATACGTTAAAATGTACTGGAGTATAACTCTCTATTACCCTGGTAGAATGCCAAATGTGTAACCAATACTCATAGGGGTACTCAATAAGATATGTATATGTATAATTTTTATATTATATTAACTGCAATTTTAAACAATGCAGTTACTATAAGCAGCCTGAAAATGATTAACCTCAGTTTTAAAGGCTTAGAAAGCTAAATAATCAGATAACACAATTACTTTTCTAGACTGATCTTCGAAAATTCCTTCACAGGCAGCTAATAAAACATCAAAATTTAATATGCATATGTTTGTAATAAAAATGCTTCAGTTAGAAAAGGCCTTTTCTGTTTTGAAAGACTTCCCTGGTATTAGATAAGAATATCCTCTATACTTGGGATAGGACTGTACTGCCATATAAAAAACAGCATTTACATAGCAGTATCTTTGAAAAGTGCTTTCCTATTAAGTTTTAGGAACTACAGAAGTAAAATCTTAAGTTTACAAATTTATGACCCAACTATAATTGGCTTGTATAATAAATAATAAACCTCAGGCTCAATATAAGAGACCTCATCATATCCAATATAAAAGCTGTGTTACCAACGCTACTGAAGAAAGTAAGACATTTACTTGTTAGTTTTCCCATTCTGTGCAAGGCAAGGTCTCTTCTTCATCCTCAGACTCAGGGGATGCTTCTTTGATTCTCCTAAGAGCTTCATGGATGCTCCGTGTGAGAGGGTCTGTGTCAGGCAGAAGCGTGAAGGATTCTCTCAAAACTTCCTTCTGTACTTTCTTCAATTTTACCCCCTTCCTTATTTGTGCCAAGATATTATTACTATCATCTTCATCAGGAAAAGGAGGCAGAGTTCGTTGTTCAACCTTTTTCAGATGAAAACTACCACGTTTCAAGGAAGCTAACACCTCATCCATGGGTGAGCTCACTTTAGAAAATGAAAGAAAACAACTGGAGTTAGAGTAACACATAAAAAGTCAAACTACTACAACCTCTAGACCAGGGGTCCTCAAACTTTTTAAACGGGCCAGTTCCCTGTCCCTCAGACTGTTGGAGGGCCGGACTATAGTTTAAAAAAAAACTATGAACAAATTCCTATGCACACTGCACATATCTTATTTTGAAGTAAAAAAACAAAATGGGAACAAATACAATATTTGTATTTGCATGTGGCCCGCGGGCCGTAGTTTGAGGACCTCTGCTCTAGACTGCAGGACTTGATAGCCCATGACACTGGAAACACCATCTACAAAACGGCCCATGCAGTGTAAACAGAAGGTTCCAAAGCACAGGGCATCCTAATTACACTTACTAAAAAGAAATCCCAAGACTCAATTCCATGTCAGGTATTATCGGTATTCCTATCATTTCCCATGTGAGAAAAGGGAACAGATTGGGAGCTAGGAGTTGGACGTTAGTAGTATCATAGGTGAGGCTTCTGAAGGATTTCCATAATGCACCAGCCCAACCTGAATTCCAAAGTGACTGGGTTATACATTTAATTTTTAAAAATTAATTTTGGTTCATTATAGTGATATTTTGCATTTAGTTGTTTTATACACGCAATTCTACTTGGATTAAGGTAAAAATATTTTAGAGGATAGTCTTTCAGATTAAAATATAATATGCAAAATGTTCTATATAATATTCTATGCAAGCTAAAGCTGCTTGAGGGCCAAGATTTTCTGTTCTTTTCAAAAAACAGCTTTAACATATAATATGACATGCAAGAAATTATACATATTACTCCTTATTCTTCTTTGATTCTTTATATGAAGAGTATACCAAGGTCCTCAATAAACACGTGACCAAATGTTACATTGTCCTGCCAATGCCATCCTAGTGTAATAGTTCTGACCAAATGACTTAAGCTTTCCGATGTGAATACCTTTCTTGTATTTCCCAGGTTTAAAATCACTTTTTTTTTTTTTTACACAAAAGGAGCTTCCTACTATGTATTACCAAATAGATCAAGTATCACTTCTGAAGATTTATTTTTAAAAATATGCCCAACAGCTAAAGGTACACACTGCTATGTCTGTAGAAATTTGTCAATATGGGTTGGTGAGAATTCTGCCCTGCTGTGATCTTGAAAACCTATTCGCTATCAAATAATGTCCAGAAATAATGTACTAATATTAAGCTTCATAAGATCCTGTGAAATAAAAGTGCTTTGATTATGCCTCACTTTTTCAACAGATGAACATGAAAAGATCTCTTTAACTTACCTCTCCTTCTCTGCAAACCTTCAGCAGTCTTTTTGAGCTTCTTCCTGGCACTGACCAGCTGGCTGCTATCAAAGAGATGTGCTGAAGGGGCACTTGCAGATTTAGGGATCCTCTTCTCGTTCCCCTCCACACTAGGTAGAGGGTGGTGGGGGAGGTGGTGTTGGAGGAAGAGGTGGTGGGAGTGGATCTGTGGTAACAGAACCTGGTTCAAGGTCAATATTATTCAAAAGTGAAAGAGAAACAGTGGGGCACAGTTCCGAGGTAACACCACTGAGAGGTAATGAAGTGGCTTCAAGTTGTACTAATGAAGTATCTTCAAGTTGTATGAGGCTTTGGGCTTCTGCTGTCTGCGAGGACCCAAGCTTGCCTCTTCCTTTCTGCACCTCTTCACTTTTCTCTTCTATCTGCAGTGCTCCTGGCATAGAGTTGCACTGGTCCTCGCAGGGCACAGGACTAGCGGCACTTTTTCTTGCATGAGCCAGTCGCAATCTGCTTGACTTAAATATAACTTGGCCAGGGTACCTCTAAAAAAACAGACGTTATAACTGGTTAAATTATGTTAAAATGATTTATGAACAATTGGCTATCTATTTTCTCTCTCAAGTGAAAGATGTTCTTTTGGAGCTTTTGTAATTTTCAGGGAAACTTTTGTAATACAAAATTGTAATACAGTTATACAGAAAACCAGAATACCAAAGTGTAGTAACTTTCAGTTATCACCAAACTCTTTAATGTGTGCTCATCATCATATCCTTTATGGATTATCTTGTAATCCTCTTATCAACTTAAGCAACTATTCAAAATTATCACTATTAAAAAAAGGTCTTTACTGAATAAAATTATGAATTTAAACGGAAAAATAATAGGAATGTAAATTACACAACATAAATGATGTAAAACATATATGTGCAGAAAGCTAAGGGACTATTAGTTTCTTACATGTATTTTCAAATGCTTACAGATAAAATTTTTGGGAGTACTGACTGACATAACAACTCTCATTCTGTATTTTTACTGTAGTGAAACCTAGCATTAATGCGTTTGCTTAACTCAAGGCTTAACACCCTTTTCACTATAATACTAATAGGACTTTATCAAAAGCTTCCAACAGTGGAAGCTTTATCAACTAAAACCATTCAGCTTAAGCAGAGTTCGAAGGAAATATTTAGCTGCTGTGATGTCAGTGTCCAGAGTCATGGTTTCACCTGGTAAGAAAACTGCTGAAGCATTTCTCATGTATGCTGATCCACTCTCTAATTCTGTCACTGATCATTTCCATAGATTACTATCATAGGTTGATGTATGTGGAATTAATAACAAGTTGATGCTTGAAATGGAGAGTTGGTTGGAAACTAATTACTTTATAATTAGTTTATAATTCAAGTGGAACCCATGCTTCCCAGGGGCCTTGACCATTCCTCTTATACTCGACTGAAGTGGTAGCCAAGGGTCACAGGATATTAATTCTAGAAACAACCAGAGGAAAGGTAGCCATGCAAATCAAAACTAACTTACTTTCTAAACAACAAAGGGAAAACCCAAGTTTTTCTCAGACAAAGAAATCTTGTAATAGGAGTGTGTATGTAGCAATGAAAAACCATATAGTTACTGTACTTTTATTACCTGTTTAAAAGTTCGAAGTCTATCCAGTGTTCTCTGTCTTTCTTGGCTAACCCAAGCACTTTTTCTTTCTTCTTCATCATGTAATTTCTCTCTCTTCTGGTAAAAAATGAGTAGTAATTCAATTATGATGTTTCCCATTTCTTTTTATCATTAATAGGAAAAAAAGAACAGAGTTCTCCCAGTGTGTCAGGTGGGTAACCCCAAAGAATGATGCATTAAACAAAATGTTTTATGGCATGAAGCACTATCCATTTTTAACAAATTATCATTTTAAAATTCACAATGGTAAAAATAATACTATTTTATTTTTTTCATTTACTCCCAATTAAAGAATTTTATTCTGTAAAATAGAATAAAATCTCTGAACTAAAAAATGTTTCATTTTTGTGGCCCTGGCTTAAACAATTTTAGTATGAAACACTTATAGCTGTTAATTCTGCTAACTCAAACAGTGGACCTTAAAATAAATCCATAAACACTTGGTCAGTAATTTAGATATTACACAGGCCAACCAATATAACCAACAGTTAGAAAAAAATAAAAGTAGTTCCACCATCATACATAAATTATTTGCTTTACTATCATAACTTATAGCTGGCAGTTATCTGTACAAAAATTAAAAATTTTTCTCATATTGTTGAATCAACTAAAAGCCATCTAATTGAGTCTTATTAGGCAGAACAGATATTAAATAAATGAAAAGGCTTTCTAGATAAGCAAATGGGTTATGAAACTTTATTTTTCTGCTTTGTTTTAAAAAATTGGGGCTACTTCCCCCAAGACCAGATAATTTCACATGGAGTATGATGGTGGTTCCAGTGTGTCATTAATCTGTCTTTCTTCCATTTGTCTGCTGTCCTTTACAAATTCTATCATCCATTATTCTCTTATTCTATTGATTCTCTCTTCTTTCCCACCAGCTTTGTCCTGGATAATATAGTTTCTAATGAGAATTACTGCTCACATTTGCCTTAGATGGTTATATCAAAATCTAAAGGATGACTGGAATCGTCAAACTAAAAGTGTACATGAAGTTTCAGGAAACCCTCATGCACAATGCTCAACTGGTAATGTTACTAGACACTACAGTAAAAATCAAAGTTTTGTTCTAAGTCTCCAAGAATACAAACTTACTAGTTGTACTGTGTGATGGGTTCTGTAGTTCTCTTCACTCTGAAGGTGCTGATGGAATTTTTCGTTGTGTTTTGCAATACAAATTTCCTATAAACACATAAAATATGTTTTAATATAAGTGGAACTTAAAGATTTAAACAACATACCAGGGTTTATGTGATAAGTCACATTTTAACATATAACTGCATAGCAAAGTATCAAATAAACCACCTCTGGTTTCTCATTTCTAAGGCTGAAGCAGCATAAACCAAATAATCAGGATCTTAAAAAGAGTCTTCTATCAAATTATTAAAACTTCTCTTCCATTCCTGATTTCCCTTTTTTGGAGGGGGAGGGATGGGGCAAGGCAGAGTGGAAGAGGGTGTCCTTATATAATCTCAAAGGCCTCTTTCAGCTCTGAAGTCTGTGGCCAGAATATTCTGTCTTACTGTACTCCTTAAACTGTCTGGGCAAAAAGGATATACAACTCCTGGCTTAAAGTCTGTATTCTTAAACTCTCTCTGATGAATTAAAGAACATGATTTTGTCCAAACTGCTTTGAAGCATATTATGAAATCTTAAACTTTTGGCCACAGACTTTAGAACAAAAAGAGAACTTAAAGACTAGAAAGTCAGAATTATGTTCTTTCTAATCATGTGAAACAAAAACGTAGTAATAAAATGGGATATATGTGCTTCTTTACAAAATAATGCACTGCCATTTGGCAACTTTAGTGGCACCACGCTGAATCTTCATTTTCCCTGCATCCTCTTGGAAAGCCCTCCAGATGAAAGGGTTTCCATTAGTTCCCAACACTCTCAGAGCTATACCAAAGATTACTCTTCTAATCAGAGAAAGGCATCTAAGGAATGACATTTTAAGCCAGTAAACTATTTTTCTAAAGCAACTGTTGATATTATATTCTTCCCCCACACTGGGTTAAATCTCTTGCCTAACAAGTATTGATCATGAAATGAACTTGTCCAGGGTAGTCTCCCTGGGGGAAAAAAGGCAGTCCTATACAGTGACATGATACAGTGGTATACTGACTTAGGCTTCTGGGTCACACAGACCTCAGACAGAATCCTACCTTACCCCATACTAGGCACTTTTTCTTGGGTCATTTATTTAACCTTGGTTCCCTTGGTTATAACATGAAAATACAGGTCCACAATCCCTTATCCAGAACAAAGGTCAGATGTGTTTTGAAATTGAATTTTTTTTCAGATTTTAAAAAGGTGATAGGTTACATATATCATATTACCAAGGAACTCCAGCAGGATTCTGAAGCAGCACTCCATAATAACTTACTTCATTTTAAAAGATGAACAAGTATTAGTGACAAACTAAATTAAAATTATTAGCTATGGATCAAGGATTAGTAATGAATAAAAGCAAAATTTAAAATTAAGGCTGAATTTCATAAATACATAACCTATTACACCTTTTTTTTAAATACCTTTTTATTTCTGAGGTAGGCTTTCTTGGCTGAAACCCGTCCACGTCTTGCTTCCAGCTGGCGTGCTTTCTGCTGAAGTTTATGCAGCTCTTCTCTCTGTAAATGCACCGATGCTGCCATCTCTTCCTTCTCCAGCATGGCCTCCATGCTTTCATAAGTGTCATAGTATACCACTTCATCTCTTTTTTCTGGTACAGAATAGCAACAAAGAGTAATGGTTAAGAGCGTGGACTGCAGAGACAGAACAGGGCTCTCATCCACTTACTGGCTCTGTAACCTCAGGCAAAGCCATTATCTATATATATAAAAGCCTAAGCAACTGTTACGACCCGATGGTAGCTATGACGCACACTGACCACCAGGGAGCAGATGCTCAATGCAGGAGATGCCTCCTGGTGGTCAGTGCGCTCCCACAGCTAACCTCCTGCAGCTGGCCAACCTCCTACAGTCCCTCCCCCCTGCTGGCCGGCCAGGTTAAGGGACCCTACCCATGCATGAATTTGTGCACTGGGCCTCTAGTCTCTTTTAACCAGGGGGCAGACGCTCAATGCAGGAGCTGCCCCCGGCTGGCAGGCTCTGCTGGGGAATGGGGAACCGGGGGTGGGTGATGGCGCCAGACCAAGGCAGGTGTGAGCGAGCCTGGCCTGTTTGCCCCGCCAGTCACCCCACACACAGAGGGTGACTGGTGGCAGGGGGCAGGGCCAGTGAGTGGGTGGGAACAGCCAATTTCTTGGTTACTCCCCTTGGCCAGGAGGCTCCGATTGCCCAACGGGTAATGGGGAAAAGGGGATGGGTGGCTGCAGACATGGGCAGCAGGGGACGAGGCCGGCTGTCGGCAGCCAGGGAAGATCAGCCCTGATCATGGGCCAGACCAAGGGACCCTACCCATGCATGAATTTGTGCACTGGGCCTCTAGTCTCTTTTAAAGCATTCAATATTTTGTGGACTTATGTGGTTAAATGTACACCATACCAGATATAAGTCTTTTGATGCTTTCTAGTTGTGCTGTCAACAATAACTCTTCACACTTCAAGATTTCAAACTGTACTTCATACAACTGAAGTTGCAGATCATAATAATCAGCTTCTAACTGATCCAATCGGGCTATGGCTTCTGTACCACCCTGCAAACTCTGCATCTGTATTGAAAATAAAAGTATTTCTAGTTGGTGGGGACAAGAAAAAAAAGTCATGTTATAATTTCTAATTAGAAATGAAAACTAATCAGACAGGATAAACCCATAAAGCAATTGTTCTAAGAAACTTGTGGGCAAGAATGAAGATTTTTAAAAGACATAAAAACAGTAATAATTAAAACATATGGTTTCAGAAATAACTAGGCAAACACTGTAAAAATAAGGTTTTTAAAGTTTATGTTACAGCTCATCTATATTTAGGTTAATATATCATTCTAATTATCTTGACATAAATATTAATGGCATCCCTTTTCACTGACAAAAAGAGGTTGATAGTTTTGCAGTTATCCTTTTCATATAAGATGCATGAATACCATTAGGCCATACTTGGATAGACACAACAGAGGGGGGAAAGTCTGCTGAACACCACACATCAAGAGCTTTATTTTGCTCCAAGATCACAGCCTGGCTGGCTTCTAGGATCTGTTGACTGGAGAAGAAGGTGAGTGGATGTGAGCTAGAGCGGCATGACAACTGCTTTCCATGGAAATCCTTGCAACCTACTGATAATGATCATTATTAGTATCTAAATAAACACAGGGTCCTACAGTGAACCTAAGGGATTCAGACATTTCTATGTATGTCTCATGAAGTAGTTGGGTGATCTTGAATGAGATTTTTTGTTGGTTGGTTTTTAGTCCTGAAGTGAGAGGGAGATATTTTGCTGGGCACCAGAAGAAAATCACCATGAGGAAAAGTATAAGTTAGATAATGGTTCCATATATTTCTATTTGGCTCTTTGGAAAAAGACAGGTGCAAGAAACTTTTCATGAGTCTGTAATATGGCAATAGTTTTCTGGTATGAGAGAGTAGGTATTCTTCCAAAAACGTTTCTTCTAAGAACATGGCACCACTCTTTGGCAGTTTAAAAGTTCAAGCTCAGAAGTTCCAAGAGACTGGCACAGGTATCAATTTGCTGGGAACTAGCAGCACCGCGAGGAGGCCCTGGGCTCAAGTGGCATGCTAAGGAGTGACTAACAAAGGAAGTGGGGGGAGAACAAAGAGGGAAATGAGAGAAATGTTTATGAGCTCTAGTGAGACATCACCGGGGCTTCCAGAATCCCAGGAACACACTTAACTGATAGTCCTGGGCAGCCATGGCAGCAGACAGTGAATTCTCATTGCTACAAAATAACCCCTTCTGGCTAGTGAGGTTGGTTAAAACATGTTAGCACATAAAAAGAGTATTTTTAAACAAGATTCCAGCCTTCCTTTACATTTTAGATATCCATATAGTTCAATTCTTTTAATAAAAATTTTGAACTGCAAAACAACAGTTAAGCTGGGGTCTAAATGTGCAACAGTATACATTTAAAAATAACCAGATGAATCAAATACAGTGCTATTTAATTTTATAAACATTTTATAAATAGATAGTTAATAAGTTATCTAACTTGTAAGTCAGTGATCCTGCTACACTAGGGAATATGAGTGACAAACAAGAAATATAGAACGAAGTCAAAATGGGTTTAATTATAGTTTCACATGAAGGAGAATGCTGACAAAATGAAATCCTGCTGCTTTTGCCCTAAGTCATAAAAGAAGAATCTAGGAGTCATTTCTTTGCTAAACTCCGTCTTGCTATAAATTATAAACCCTTTACAGACTATTTTGGGGGTCCTGTCCAGTCCTGGAGACCACAGTCCCATGATATGAAGAGATAGAATGTGTAATGTTAGAAGGCTTTAATTCTTGTAAGTGGGGATTTATAATCAGTAAAACCTTAGTGTGAATCACTAAAGGTATCACTAAAAACCTTCATCTATTATCAGTTCTCCAGTGATGCTGTCCAGCGCGGACTTGTCCCATCTTTACTACCTCTAGTTCTCGCCAGCCAAAAGTGACCATTTATCTGCCACTATTATGACATGTGCTAACTACCAGACTCCTGTCCCATACTTTGGCTAAGGAAGGAAGTTCAAAGTCCCCTGCTAACATACCTGTACATTGTCAGCTGTCCCAACTACAAGTAGAACAATACTCCAATTCCTGCCCAGGGCCCAAGTACCTTAAAAGCATTTGAGATGAATAATGATACCAGAGTACAGCAAATAGCAAAGAAAGGAAAGGGTATTCTTTAACAATAAGCAATCTCATCCCCAATTTTCTGGCTTAGTGAGTTCTCTTCAGAGCAAGGGAGTCCAGAAGTGTATTTGGCATGGCTGGGTTCAAAAGAAGGACAAAACCTCATGAGAGACAGAAGCACAGACAAGAAATCTGTTAAGTACCAAACTCTGAGAGAACAAACAATAGGGCAGTGATGGGTCTCAGGAAAGTTAGAGATGTAGAGAGGACTTTTGTGGGATAAGCTAAGGAGAAGGGGGTTAAAGACAAGCTAGGGAAATCTTAAGAGGGCAAAATGGTGCTGAGAGGTTTGTCTAAACTTCAACATGGTGGGGAAATTCTCACTGAAAGGCATGGAGAGGTATGTGAAGGCCACATTGCTCCAAATCTCTTCCCTGTAACATCTGAAATTTCCAGACTGACTTTTTTTCCTGGTGTCTAACTCAGATGACAGCCACAGAACTAAGGGAATGGGAATCCAGAGTGGATGGAGCACTAATTGTGAGCAATGGAGCCATGTAGAGAAGGAATGTGCCACAGATGGAACCTGGGGGGCAGTGCTTCCCCTGACAAGGAGGAAGTCTAAAGAGCAGGTTAACTGTTCAAGAAAAAAAGACAATCAATGCCAATGAAAAAACTCTCTTCATTTCGCCCTTCTAAATAAATTTTTGAAATCAAGACCCCAAACCAAACTGTGCCTTCCTAAGGTAACCTAAGTAGTACTAGCAACATTAGAACGAGCTCAATTCTACCAATTCCTACAAGGATGGTCTTTCCACTTAGACCAGTGGTTCTCAACTTTCTGGCCCTTTAAAAGAGTTCCTCATGTTGTGACCCCCAACCATAAAATTATTTTCGTTGCTACTTCTTAACTGTAATTTTGCTACTGATACCAATCGTAATGTAAATATCTGATATGCAGGATGGTCTTAGGTGACTCCTATGAAAGGGTCATTCAACCGCCAAAGGGGTCACAACCCACAGGTTGAGAACCACTGACTTAGACAAAAGTAGGGAGCACTGTTCCAATAAATATGGAAAAGAAAACAAAGAAAAATGTTTCTGCAGTAAATCCAGCAAGGAAATGGAAGTACAGGAAGTATTAGTCGACATATGTATATCCACATAAGTACATCATACACTGTTGACCCACAGATAATCATTGCCCCCTGCACAATAATGATAAAGTAGTTTTCATGTGTACCTATTTTACTGACCGTACTATATCATAAAAACACCTATAAAGTCATTTACATAAAGACCGATGGCCCTGTCCTGCCTTTTACTCTACTATGCTAGAAAACCCCACAACATGTGAGGGGCTGTGAAAAACAGAATATCTATGGGTTGAGCCAATATAGTAGCCAACAAATACTCACTGAGCACTCACCACTATGTGAGTTAGAGAGAATATGGCAGTAAACAAGAAATGAAGCACGGGTTCAAAGAGTTGTCATAAAAATAATGCACAGCGTAAGAGAAATAACATTAAAGGCAAGCTCGGCAAGCATTCAATCAAGACTAGCCCTTTTATGTGGAAAAGATGAAAAGAACATGAGACTTATAACCAGACAAACCTGGGGTTCCACCATAACAGCTGCACGAATAGGGAACTACATACAAGCTAACAGAATTATCTAAAATTCCACATTTCAGAAATATTTTAAAATTGGAAATATCCATAATTTCTTTGATGTTGAAACCTAACATCACCATCCATTTGTAGGAAAATATGATCTGACTTGATGTGAGTCCCTATTTATTCCACGTAATATAAATATCTATATGTTTCATTACTGAAATGCTAACACTTGTCCAGTAGTTACATGCCCTCAACTGGCTTTCTAAAATCTAAAAAACTAAGAATTCTGAAACATATCTGGTCTTGGGGGCTCCAGATAATGACTTATGGGCTTATAGCATAAAGGATTATGTTTGGGAATTGAGATAATAAGCACTAAGGACAGGGCCTGAAACAAAACTTTTTTTAATAACCACTATCAAAATATAACAGTAAAAATGGAATTTCACAATTAACATTAGAGCTTTTGGAGCAGAACCTAGCTTTCTGTACTAAGAGACTGAAATATCTACTGTACTGATATGATGAAACAGACTCTATCTGCTTACTGATAAAAAAATTAAAAACACAAAACCAGCCTCTCTGCCTCAACAAGCACTCTGGCTTCCCCACCTATGTTCCTTGAGGTTGAAACTTTTTGGAAAGGCCCATACGAAAAACAAACATCTTAAACATGGGAATTATATTTTCCCCACCTCTATATTCCCTTCCATGATACATGCACAGTTAACTAACACAGATCACAATAATATCAAATGTTTATTTTCGGGTTCTTACTCTATGCCAGGCACTTTGCTAAATGACTTATATACATGAACTCATAACTCTCCTAGAGGTATATATTATTTCTATTTTATAGAGAAGTTAAATAATTCACCCAAGGTGGGATCTGTAACTCTGTCCAATTTAGCAGCCACAAGCCATATGTGGCTATTTAAATAATTTAAAATAAAAAATTCTGCTCCTCTGTCATATATGCCACATTTCAGGGGCTCAATACAAATACAGCTAGTAGCTTAGCTTATGGGAAATTGCAGATGTAGGACATTTTCATCACTGAAGGAAGTTCTGTTGAAGATCTCTGTCTATATCATAAGCTCATGCTCATTATAGTATAGTATATAAGTGCTCAATAATCTCTCTATACAAAAAGCCAGCAACTGGAACGCAAAAATGACCAGTCGCTATGATGTCTACTGCGGCCAGCCAACCAGCCTTATTGGGGGCAGGACTGGCTGGCCAACCACCCGTGGCCCCTCCCCGCCACCAGCCCGGGCCCCCGATCAGCTCCCATTGG